CCCAAGGTAACACAGCAGGTAAGCGGTGAACTGGGATTAATGTATCTGGTACCTGAGTCCCTGCTCTCTCTTGTGATGCTGTAGAAGTAAGGGGAACAGAGAACAGAAGGAGCTAGTTAGGTGAAGCCCACAAAGATTACCAGCAGTCCCTGGGCCATTGTAATTTAATCTAAATACCACTGACCATCCAATCTGCTCCCTTTCAATCACTAACCCCAACTCCCAACTCCACTCCCCAGTCCAAACCACCTTCAGCTTCCTGCCTCAATAGCATCCTTCATCTCTGGGATGGTTCACTTTTCTGGCTCCCCCTCCAGGCTGTTTTCCACACAGCAGGCAGATGATCTAGGTGAAACATAAATGCGATATGCTGTGTTCAGTCGCTCAGTCCTGTCCAACTCTTTGTGACCCCATGGACTGTAACCCACTAGGCTCCTCTGCCCATGGACAGAGAATTCTCTACCAACTGAACTACCAGGGAAGCCCATAAATGCAATAGTGTCACCTCTCTACCCAAAATCTTTCTACAATTTCCCACTGCTCTTAGAATGATAACAGAACTCCTGACCATGGCTTACCAGGCTCCACATAATCTATTCCCGATGACCTCTCCAGCTTCATCTCACTTCCTCTTACTCCATCTGCTTGTACAAGTCAGTATTTGGGTTATCTATTGCTGCATGGAAAATCACCCCAAACCTTAGTTCTCTTGTGATTCTTGTGTTTGGCTAGGCTCAGCTATGTGGTTCTTCTGGGGCTGGAGCCATCTGGAGGCATGACTGGGGTGGGCTTCCGAGATGCTCATTCACATGTCTAGAAGTTGATGCTGGCTGTTGCCTGGGAGTTCAACTTAGTTCAGTTCAGTTGCTCAGTCATGTCTGACTCTTTGAGACCTCATGGACTGTAGCACACCAGGCTTCCCTGTCCATCAGCAACTCCTGGCACTTGCTCAAACTCATGTCCATCAAGTCGGTGGTACCATCCAACCATCTCATCCTCTGTCGTCCCCTTCTCCTCCGGTCTTCAATCTTTCCCAGCATCAGGGTCTTTTCCAATGAGTCAGTTCTTCACATCAGGTGGCCAAAGTATTGGAGTTTCAACTTCAGCATCAGTCCTTCCAATGAGTATTCCGGACAGATTTCCTTTAGGATGGACCGGTTTGATCTCCTTGCAGTCCAAGGGACTCTCAAGAGTTCTCTCCAACACCACAGTTCAAAAGCATCAATTCTTCAGCACTCAGCTTTCTTTATAGTCCAACTCTCATATCCATACATGACTACTGGAAAAACCATAGCTTTAACAAGACGGACCTTTGTCGGCAAAGTAATGTCTCTGCTTTTTAATATGCTGGCTACTGTCCATGGGGTTGCAAAGAGTTGGACCTAACTGAGTGACTGAGCAAATTTAACCAGTAAGCAAGGCAGAAGGCATTTGGGCTCGAGTGGCCTGACTCCAGAGCCTGTTCTTAACAGATGATGATGTTATGCAAACAGAGTTTACCTGCATTAAAAGGCTGGGAGCAGGGCATAAAGCTGACCTGCAAATAGGCAAGGATGATGCTTCAACAAATGTTGGTGAGCCCAGAAAACTCTGTGATTGACAGAAGGTACAGATGGAAGGTCTCAGGACAAGGTCGGTGCTGTGGAGCTTGGCCCCAGCTCCTAGAGATTGTCGACGGGCGGCCTTTCAAATACAGCTGAGCTAGAGGAGGTCTCAGAGCCCTGGCACTGCCACCCTCCACCAGGGGGCAGAGAGCAGCGTGCGCTGTGCATCGGGGAGGGCAGCAGGCTCGTGTCTGTCCCAAGAGGGATTATCACTCTCAGCGGCAAGGCCCACAGTCACAGTGGACAAAGTGTGCTCAGCACCCATTACCTTAACAGGCAGGATTTTGTAGAACAAGGAGACACTGCTAAGGAGAAGGGGGCCATCATAAAAGAGGGGCTAGGGGCATAAGTGGTACCCCTACCTGCTTCTTCTCAGCAGCCAGATCCCAGTGAAGGGAGCCAAGGAATCCAGAGGATCACAGTTGATTTTTTTAATGTAATATGTCCTCAGTCCATTAGCAATGATTGAGATCATTTGCCCTCCCTAAGCTGGGTCTGGGAATTCCTGAGATAGCAGTATAACATTACCTCTTCCTTAGCCACCAAAACTCAGGCCCCTCTAAAGCCAGCAGATGCTCAGCAAAGGAAAAAGACACATTCACCATGGATGGGTAGGTTTTACAATGTAAGAGGAGTGAGGGGATAAAATTTGATTGATTGGCTTGTTCAGTTTTCTTAGCCATCCACCCCATTTCCTCTTCCATACCCTACTTCCATTCAGACAAAGATATCTGAAAGGTTTATAGTGAGACTCTGTGGAAATTGTATCACTGGTCATGTTTAGGGTTATTTTGTTGTTATGAAATAATCTTAGAAGAAACCCAGATACAGTTTAAAGTAACACTGCCTTTCACGGTAAGAAAGATGTTTTCTTTGAATCCTCTTCGACTCTTTCTGGTGATCTAGTTAAGGAGAAAGTCCCTTTTGGCGCTATCTCATCACTAACATCTTGCCGACATGTTTATCCTCCTTTTTAACAAGAGAAGGTAGACATGGGATCAGCCCCATAGCAGGTGGTGAAATGGAACGTTATTTCATTTTCATTAGGTTTAGTTTTGCCGTGAGTTTGTGTGGTGACACAAATTAGGATATTTTACAAAGGGTTTCCCTTTTAAATGAATGTGTTTAATTAAAGTGACTCAGTTACAGGTAAAGTATTAAGTGAATAGTATTTATCACTGGGACAAGAGATACTGGGTATGGCAAAGATCCGGAGATTATGAATGTTTAGAAAACACCAGAATGCAGAAATATGATCTGGTCATGTCACTTCCTGGCTTAACGTCTGCACCCGATCCTTCCTAAGCGGACCCTGCCCACCACCCAGTCTCTTCTCTGCCTGTCCCCCTTCCCACTCTGATCCAGACACACAAAACTTATTACATTCTATCAACTTTCCAAGCTCTCTCTTGCCTTCAGGACTTTACCCTTTACTTCCCTCTGCCCAGAACTCTCTCCTCGTCCCTCCTAGATGGAGAATTCCTACCCAGGGCTCAGGTCTTGGTTAGATGCGACCTCATCCAAGAAGCCTTCCGTCATCCTCCTGGCAGGGTTCTTTGCCTTTCCTCTCTGCCCTGCCCCCAGCATCCCCCATGTCTTCATCACATCACTCAGCCCAGGACACACAACTGCCCGGTTAGCTGCCAGTGCTGCCTATTAGAAGGAGAGCCGCTGGAGAACAGAGAGTCTGTCCGGTTCACCCCCACTTACTCACTCAGCAGTGTGCCGAGTGCCTAGTTAAGGGGCCAGGTGCTGTTCTAGGAGTCATAGCAGTAAACAGCATAGAAGAGCTCCTGTCTTCATTCTAGAGGGGAGAGTTGGACAAAAATAAATAAATAATGCTTTAAAAGCCATATGTATTCTTTACAAAATGTCAGGTTGTAACAAGTCCTTTCGATAAATTAAAACTGGGTAAGGGAGCACCGCCCTCGTGGTCCAGTGGATAAGAATCCACCTGCCAACTCAGGAGACAAGGGTTCGACCCCTGGTCCAGGAAGATTCCACATGCCGAGGGGCAACTGGGCCCATGTGCCACAACTACCGAGCCCACGCCATAGGGCCCGAGAGCCTCAACTGCTGAAGCCCACGCACCTTAGAGCCCGCGTCACAAGACAGGCCACTGTAGTGAGATGCCTGCTGCTGTTGCTGCTGCTGCTGCTAAGTCGCTTCAGTCGTGTCCGACTCTGTGCGACCCCATAAACGGGAGCCCACCAGGCTCCCCCGTCCCTGGGATTCTCCAGGCAAGAACACTGGAGTGGGTTGCCATTTCCTTCTCCAATGCATGAAAGTGAAAAGTGAAAGTGAAGTCGCTCAGTTGTGTCCAGCTCTTCGCGACCCCATGGACTCACATCACAACAAAAAGTAAACCCCACCTGCTGCAACTAGAGAAAGTCCTTGAGCAGCGACGAAGACCCAGCACAGCCAAGAGTAAATTAATCAGCTAATAAAGTTTTTAAAAAGGGAATTAAAAAAAAAAAGATGGGCAGTAATGGGGACAGTGGCTGCTCTTTTAGACTGGGGTCAGACAAGACCTCTCTGGGGTGATGCTGGCACAGAGACTTGAAGAAGCGAGGGGAAGAGGGCCAATGGGGACAGCAAAGGGGACGACTCGGAGGTACAAACAGGCTTGGGGTGTTTACAGAACACAGAGGTTGCCGCAGTGGCCGGAGTGGGGTGAGCTTCCAGGAAGCAGCTGGGCTGCACCCCCACTCTGGGAGGCAGGGAGAAGGCTCCCAGGGAGGAGGTTCCCCCTGGGCTGAGACGGTGCTCTGAGTAAACAGGAGGGAGGGTGCCCTCTCGGCCTGCGTGCCAGCCAACCCCGAGCCTGGCCCGAGAGACCTCCAACATTTGCAGAGGTGTTTCCTGTTAACATTTACCTTGGCTGATGTTTATTAATCGAGTCTATTAATAGACTTTTTTGGACCCTTCCTAACGAATAGCTTCTAGAAGATGCATTTCTTGCCCGTTATCCCCTGCCTCCTATGATGCTTCAGATATGTAAATTGCTTTTCCATCCTTTCTCTCTTGGTCTATTCATTTATTCATCCATAACACACATCTGAGTTGTTGAGCGGGGAACAACACAGACTCAGCTCCCACCCTCAAGCAGCACATAGTTTTGATGAGAGACAAGTCTGGAGGGCCCCAGAGGCCCATTTTCTTCCTATCTTTGTTAGCTTGGCAGAGAGGTGGCCGGGCTGGACCGGGCCAGTCTGTGGGCCACAGCCCACCCTGGCTTTGTTGGGTATCCACGTTCCTGTGGGCTGACAACCTCCAAGGCTCTCCCGTGTCCTCAGAGTGCAGCCCTTGACAAGCACACTGCCTAGCGGTCACTAATGCCCAGACAGCCCTTGATAGATTTCTTGTTACTCAGAGAATTTCCACATTCCCTCTTACCTCTCTGGCCGGCAGTCTGGAGTGGGTCCTTTGTCTCGGCAATGGTTGCATGTCCAGCTGGTTGGCCGGGACAGGCCTCTCTGCAGGAGCCCTGGCCACGCAGAGGACATGCCCGCTGAGAACCCATGATGAAGAGGATGGGAGTTCAAGGCCCTGTGGATGCTACTACTTCTCTTCCTCTTGTGTTCCCCGCCCCCCAGCAATCTCCATCTGTGCCGTGTGATGCTACTGCTGTGTCCAGTCTCCCTTGTGTGACAATTCCAGGGCAAGGAGACAAGATAGAGGAAGCGCCCGACACTCTCATGAATGTTAGAGAGGAGATGACCAAGTGCCATGGGTATTATTGGGGACTTGGACTAGGGGTGTCGGAGGCTGGGTTCTCTGGAGGGAGCACACAGGTGCTTGGTGGGGAGTGTTCTGAGATCAACACCTGGGAAAGGGAGGGGTAGCAAGGGCATTGTCTGGAGTTGGTTGGAGATGGCCGCAAAGAGGTCTTTGATTCTTCTCCTGCCATCAGTCCCTGATCAGCCTCTGGATGCGGTCAGCCCTGAAGTGAATGATGGCTGGAGGGCAAAGGCCATCTGCAGACAGCCTTCCAGACCCGGGACACCAAGTCTTTCACTGAAGGTGATCTGGACACATGTTATGTCTACCACAAGGCCCTTCAGGAAGACTTGCTGGAAGAAGGGGCATTTCACTTGGGGGATGTCGGAGCAGGCAAGGAAAGAAGAGTGGTCCAGGCAAAGGGTCAGAATGTAAGAAGACCCAAAGGCAAGGCAGAGACCACACTCTCAGGGAACTACGGGGCCCAAGAGGAAAGCAGGTGGATCCCTTTTAAGATGAAGAAACAGCCATGGGGAGGCCAGTGGACTTCTCCAAAATAAGTTTACAGTAAACGAGGGAGCCTAGCTTAGAGCCACAGCTGTGGGTTCTGAGTCCAGAGTCCTCCCAGCTCCTCCCCTCGGACAGCTGTCGCCCCCTCCGGCCACTCCAGTCTCCTCTTTGAGATGCTCTTTCCTTCTCCCCTCTCCCTTCTGAGCCCTTGTGCACACAGTCCCAACCCTGCCCGGTGAAGCACTAACATTCCTTCTACATCCAGCACGAATTCTGCCATTTGAAGGGCTCCCACTTGGGTTACATTTCAGGCCAAGTGTTGTTTTGTTGTTTGGAAATTAGAGTCAGTCTGCGGCCACGGTCACAGTTCAGTCAAAGACTGAGGTCCGGACTGAAATTAGAGCTGGATCCTGCTTGAACTTCTGACCAGAGTCAAATCAGTTGGCGGCAAGGTTTTGAGCTTAATCCTTTGAAAGAGCTCAGCCTAGAACGAGGGGCAGGTCTCAGCCAGGGGCTGTGATCAGGACTTGGAACGGAGCTGGGGGGCAAGACTCAGTCTAGGGACAGGTTTGGGGTCTTAGCCTGGAACTAGAGTCAAGGTTAAGCCTTGGACTGGGGCTCAGGGATGTGAATGTGTGTCTGAGACTGGACTGAGGACCATCAGGGCTCTGCCTTCCCGCTCCTGAGGTCTGGAGTCAGAGCCAAACCCAGGAGTGGGCAGGAGAAGCCCATGAGCACAGACTCATCCAAACCCCACCCTCGCTGCCATACTGGGTACCAGATCCCACCACACTCTCTGGGTCGTGGGGATCTGGGTCCAAGCCCGTTGGGGATGCTGTGCACTGCTGGAGCCTGGAGTTTGTGAGGAAGGGTCTGCACAGATCAGATGGGGCCCCAGGGAAGTCACAGTCAGCTCCCAGGCAGGCCCAAGGTGGGTGCAGGGAGGGGAGGTGGCTCGAAACATGGTGCCCTCAGCAAGACTCTCATGAGAGCCCCAGTGCCACTGGTCTTCAGAAAGCTGGGCCTCTGCATCGACTGCCCACCCTAAGTCCGCCGGGACTGGCTCTGCCAGGGATAGAGGAAAGAGCCTCAGGCCGGGTGTTGGGGGCCTGGGCGCCCCACCTTGCCTCTCTCTCTGTGTGAAAGAAAGTGAAAGTTTAGTCGCTCAGTCATGTCCAACTCTTTGTGACCCCATGTAGCCTACCAGGCTCCTCCATCCACGGGATTTTCCCGGCAAGAGTACTGGAGTGGGTTGCCATTTTCCTTCTCCAGAGGATCTTCCCGGCCCAGGGATCGAACCCGGGTCTCCCACATGGTAGGCAGATTCTTTACTGTCTGAGACACCAGGGAAGTCCTGTAAAATAGGAACAATATAAGCTAAGAAAGGCATTTGACAAGTGAGGAAACTGACAGTCAGAGAGGGGAGGGACTGACCCCGGGTCACACAGCTCAGGGAGGAGGCGCGTGGGGATCTCAGGCCTGCTAGCACCAAAGCCCTCACCTCTCTTGCCAGTCGGGCTTCTTTCATCCCTGACACGACCGCATGCTGCCCATATCCACTCCATGCGGGCTCCCAGGGAAAGGCTGGAGAAGAGAAGGGGTGGCAGGAGACAGGACAGACACCCAGGGGACGGGACAGGCACCCAGTTTGGGTCCAGTGGGATCGTGGGGCACAGAAGAGACCAGAGGCCATGCCTGCCCCGTGTTCTGTGTGTCCAGCTCTGGACCCAGAGTCAATCCAGATTCCCCGAATACCTGCTGTGTGATCTCAGGCAAGTTGCCTCACTTCTCTGAACAAGATGCAAGTGGAAGCATGAGTCTCTCAGTCGTGTCTGACTCTTTGAGACCCCATGGACTGTAGCCCACCATGCTCCTCTGTCCATGGAATTCTCCAGGCAAGAATACTGGAGTGGGTTGCCATTTCCTTCTCTAAAAGAGCGATAATAATCATTTCCTCTTGTGATTGTTAGGCAAGAAGTGCTATAAAAGGCAAGCGAGCTATAAATATCGGTGCTGCTGCCATGGTTGCTGCCACCATCCCAGGTTCGTCCCCGTTACCCTTCGCTCAGTCTCGCTGCCCCAAACACACAGGCCTTTCCAGCTCCCCAACGTGCCACACTCCCTCCTGCTTCACAACCTTGGTGCAGGATACCCTCTCGATGTGGCCTGTGAAAGTCACTTCCCTGGGGCACCCCAGGCGGGACCAGAGCACTCTCCACACTTCCTTTGTAGCACCTGTCAGCAAATGGGGGCGGGATTATACATGCAACAGGACATTGGAAGGGACATCTCCATTTGCCCCAGAATTGACCCCTGGGGTGCAGACCTGGGGTGAATAATTGCCAAGCGCCCCGTGTTCTGAAGAGAGGCCTCAGCAACCCCTCAGGACTTGCTCAGGGGATGAGCAGTCCCACAGTGTCGCTCCTCGTTTCCAGGAGGTGGGACTGGGGAAAAAGATTCCACGGGGATGGGCAGTTTCAGTTTCCTATGGACGCTATGGATTTTCCTTTTTACCCAACCAAGCCCGTGGGAGACGCACCAGGAAAATCACGTGTTATGATGGAAGCAGGGAGGCCCCTGCCAGGAGGCGAGGTTGGGAACTTGCACTGCAGGAGGCAGATTTGTACCAGCCTGGCCCATCTGGGCAGGGTGGGGTCAAGTAGGGAGAAGTGGCGTGAGGGGAGGGAGGCGGCATGGGGCAGCCTGCAGGCTTGCCATTGGCTAAGGGTCAGCAGGCATCACAGGAAAGAGTTGAATTGTGCCATCTTTGGTACCCATCCAGGAAGGCACCCCACCACACCCAGGGGCCCCATAACAGGAACCAAGAGGCAGGTTGGAACTGAAAAGGGGAGGTTGGAAGAGGCTGTGGAAGAGCCTGATACCCAGGGGACTGCAGAGGCCGGGGCTCCCTGGGGACCCTTGAAGAGTGCACACATGTGCGTGCCCAGTGGAGGGCCAGCATTCAGATGCCTGCCCCGCTGAGGGCATCAGTGGCCGTCAGCATCGATCCACAGAGAGGAGCCCAACTGTGGGTGGGTAACTCGGGTGGATAACTGTTGCCTGCTGAACCCCAATTCCCTCAGCCCCTACACCAGAGAGGCTACGTCTTAAGAACAGAGAGGAAGAACCAGAACACTGACACCTCTGGCACGTGGTTGGACATTGAAACCATTATGCTCAGCGAAAAAAGCCAGACATAGAAAGCCACACAGTGTATGATTCCATTTATATGGCACGTTGGGAGGAGGCAGATCCATGGAGACAGAACACAGGTTGGTGGTTGGCCAAGGTGGTGGAGGGCTAACTGTGGGGCATGGAGTAGGGGATGTTTCATGGAAAGGAGGTTCCTTTCAGGGTGATGAAATGTTTTCACTTGGATTGTAATACTGGCGGTACAACCCTGTGAATGGACTCAAAACCACTATGTGTACACTCTAAATGGATGAACTGTATGTTATGTAAGTCACATCTCAACACAGCTGTCATTTTAAAATGGGGAGGGGAAAAATAAATAAATAAAACGGGGAGGGGGAATGTTGGGGGGAAGGGATAGATAGTTTGGATGGACATGTACACACTGCTATATTTAAAATGGATATGGATAGCCAACAAGAGTGTGGGGAACTGTGGTCAGTGTTATGTGACAGCCTGGCTGGGAGGGGTGTTCGGGAGAGAATGGATACATGTGTGTGTGGCTGAGTCCCCTCCCTGTTCACCTGGAACTCTCACCACACTATTAACCGGCTACGCTGCTGCTGCTGCTGCTGCTAAGTCGCTTCAGTCGTGGCCGACTCTGTGTGACCCCACAGACGGCAGCCCACCAGGCTCCCCCGTCCCTGGGATTCTCCAGGCAAGAACACCGGAGTGGGTTGCCATTTCCTTCTCCAATGCATGAAAGTGAAAAATGAAAGTGAAGTCGCTCAGTCGTGTCCGACTCTTAGCCACCCCATGGACTGCAGCCCACCAGGCTCCTCCATCCGTGGGATTTTCCAGGCAAGAGTACTGGAGTGGGGATTAACCGACTATATCCCAATAGAAAATAAAAAGTTAAAAAAAAATAAAAGCCACCAAATAAGTGCAACAAAAAATAAAGTGAGTACTGAACATGTTGGGTTAATATCTGAAAATAAAATAAAATAAAATGAGGGGTTATTTAGTTTGGAATCATAAAGAAATCTTGGAGATGGACAGTGGTGATGGCTGCCCAACAATGTAGAGGCACCTCATGCCACTGAGCCGTACACTTACAAATGGTTAAAACGGTAGATTTTATGTT